CATACTTTATGTAATTTTAATTTTCTTCTAGATTTATAGACAGGAAATGGGGGGGAATTAAAATAAATTTGTTTAAATAAACATAAGCAAAAATATCTTTATTATTTTTTCATAATTTTGTGATGCTTATCTAAGGCATTTGTATTAGTCATTGACTTGCCAACTGCAGAAGGAAATCCCAAGTGGATGAAGCCTATTTGAATACAGTTTTTAAACATTATAATAATTGTTAGAGTAATTATTTTACACTGGAAGTACACTTTAATATTTTATATACTATCGTTGTTTAATCCATGCCATTTTGTTCTTTACAAAATGGGATTGCTACAGTACAATACAACAACTTGTATTGTAATCAGCAGCTGGAATTTACTGGAAATACTAATTAAGCCCTACAAAATCAAAATATATGAAACCTAATATTAAATATATATAGCTATAAATATATAAATCTACCATCTGAAAGTAGTAGTCTTCTGGACTTATTTTGCATGTCTGTAATTGACTACATCAGACAGGAGGCATAGAGAATTAAGCTCCTGATAAATGATTCTGTTATGCTATGCTGGCTGTTTTGATTATTTCTAACACCAGTTCCTGCCTCTTGGCCTCTTAATTTCCTTTTTCTGTCCTCTCTTTCAGTTTAAAGGGTAGAATGCAAATAGCCTTATTTTGGAGGATTTTGAGTTGGAGGGAATGTTGTGAGGTGCTGTATTCATCTCCCAGCATTGCTTAAGGGTCTTGTAAAAGTGCAATACCATAATATAGGAAAGTCCTTGAGACTGGAACAACAGTGTAATTTCATTAATCTCACTGAACATTGCTATTTATTATTCTTCCACTGGTAAAGACGGATTAGAATCAGGTTTCTGTGATTTCTCAGCCTGACTCAAGATTGTTTTGTAATAGCAATGATAATGCAAAAAGAAATCCATATAAGAAAATTACTGAAGTAGCTGTATAGTTTAGGAAAAATTCAAATGTCTGTAGCAATATCTGAGTACACTTAAATTAAGCACAGTGTTAACAGCAGTGTCTTTTGACGCTCACAGATCCACATTCAGTAAGTAGCTCCTTCCACCCATGTGATATTACATGACACAAAACTGACACCTGTACCACTAAGGTGCCACTAAAATGGCAACTTTAACTTTTGGTTATTTATTTGGTGCTGAAAACTCTTATGACACACAACCCCCATCATGACACAGAGATTCTCAGAAGCTCACAGAATTTTTCAGCACTTTTTGATGCAACACTGCATCACAGTAACTGCTGGTGTAGGATCAGATCCACCTGGAGCTCACTGCCCTGCCTGTGTAAATAAACATTTAGCAACAGCGCGGGGTAGCAGCAATGACAGAAATGAGTGCCTAGGCAGAGGATTGGGGGATTCTCAGAATCAGTTGGCTCTGTGGTAAGTGTTGTGATTCTCATCTGTTGAGTTTCAGGGATGAGAAAAGCAAGCTAATTCAGCCTTTAAATTAAAAGCTGATTAGTTGATATCTTTGTTTTAACCATAAATGCATAGAGATGCTCCAAATTTCATTTAAAAATAGTTAGTTTTTTTTTAAAATCCATCTGAAACCTTTTTCTCTGGCCTGACCTCATGATCACCCTAGGGGAGGGAGGACTTGGGGTTTGCAGTCACATCACATTCAGTTTCAAAACGAAAGCCGGCTGGCCTTACAGGGCTGCCTGCTCACTCCGGTCCGACACATTCCGTGGCTTGCAGCGGCCGTGCGAGCCGTGGCGGCCCCTCGCCCTGTGCCCTGTGCCGGGGCACGGCCGGGCCCTTAGCTCCGCGCCGGGATCCGCGCATCCTGCCTGCACTTTCCCACGTCTCCAGTAGATGCCCCCAGAGACCATTAAACCCCGAGAACGGCTCCGCTCCGAGCACCGCAAAGGGCAGGCAGTCTTCTCTCATTCCGCTCCTGGAAGTAACTTAATTGTTCAAAGGAAGCCTCAAGTCGGCGCGGATGAATGCAGAAAAACAAACTCGCTTGTCTAACAATAAATCATAATTTATTAGGTAGCAAGGTTCGAAAGTGTTTAGTGTAAGGTTGCTTATCAATGTAGAAACATACTATACTAATGCTAACAGTGGGATTTTATAAAATAAATCACAGAATCACAGAATATCCTGAGTTGGAAGGAACCTTAGGTATGATGTTTTGATATTGATATTAGAAATCAAGTAATCTTTAGTTATCTAAAACATGAGTTGTTCTGCTTAGACTCGGATTTTACATGCTGCATGACATCATAAAAAGCAGGGTGGAAAGTGTTTTGAGGACTGAGGATTCATAGTTTATCTCAAGGTATCATGAAAAGTTTGCTGCTCTCACCTACACCATGCCCCTGTTCAAAAGGAGTGTTTGATGGGGGGAAATGAGGACCCTGGAATTTTCATCTGGAAACACTGATAACTGTGATTATTTTAGATTTCATAGCAGTGTCAAGCTCTTTTAGGTGGTACAAATACCATTTATCCCCATAATACCATTAATCTCTTGCCCAATTTCACTGTTTGTGTGTGATCAGTCACTTGTAGCTTATATAATACAGAAACTTAAGGAATAGTATTATTATATAGTATTACAATAGTATTGTAATTATATAATAAATAATACAATAGTATTATTATCGTGGGCTTTGTGCATAACTGACATGACTTTCATTTTTATGGCACTAAATTTGGAGGGTTTTACAATAGATAGCTTCATTGCTTGCGTGCTAAAATCAGTCCTCTTTGCCTCAGAAAAAAATGTGCTCTGCACAGTAGGATTATCCCAGCATTATTTCAATTTCTCCATTAATTGGGATGGGATTTATTAAAACACGCTTGACACTGTTTTTTAAAAATTACACGTTTTACTATATGCTTTGTTTTCCTGTACTGGTTTGCTAATAATGCTTTCTTGTGTGGAAAATGTGCTTTGACTTTAAGTAAAATACATCAGTCTACAGAAATAACATGGACACAGTTTTTCTATTTGTGTGAATACCAGTTCTGTGCCCAGTGAGAGTTAAAAGTTACCTGAATGACTTGGGGTAGAGACTGCTGAGATCTTTTAGCACCACTTCCTTGTTATTTCCAATACATCTCCTGATCTAATGCATATACACACACAAACATATATAGATCCCATTGTATAAATAAACAGGCATGTGTGTGCCTGCTATGCAGATTGCTATTCCACTTCTCTGAGTTAGATTACTGTAGGATTCAGTCCGAGGCCTTTGGAAGTTGGTAGGAATTTTTTACCTATGCTCTTTAGGGCTTTTTTTTATTGATTACATAGAATTTTTAAACAGTAAAGAAAAAGGTATTCCATATAAAAAATAGAGAATATGTTGCATGGTATTAGCATAGTATCTTTACAGTATTTTGAAACTATATACTGTACATTTGGTATATGTCAAATATAGCATATTCTAGCGAATGAAAACTTACAAGCTTAAATGTATTTTTCATATACTTTTATACGATAAATGTTGCAGATTTTTATGGTACAGAATAGTTATATCTTTTCCCTTATCTGTGAGAGAAATGCATGATTTTCAGTCTGAAAAAGCATCCATTTATATATTAAACACAAATTCAGTACTGTCTTGTCTAAATTGTATCAGGATTATTTAATATTTTTATGCTCAGTTCTGCAAGTGAAATGTGAAAAGTACATGTGAAGGATTAATGTGCATCTGTGTAGTAAGAGATTTTATTTTAATTATATCAAATATGAAATAATGCAGATTATTTGCTTCCTACATCTTACATTGCTATCTATTTTATTTACATCTAGCTAAGAAGTTTTCACATCACTTCCATCTTATCAACATTGTTAGATAATTGCAGTAGCTGTTTTTAAGATCAAGGTATTAGTCTCATTGGGCTATTATTATTACACCTGAATTTATTACATACACTATAAATCTCATTTTTCAGAATTCAGAATTCATATTTATTTTAAAGCTGAGATATTTTGAATTTGAATGGTTTTTAATCTAAAAGGACAGTCTTGAAAACAGGTTGGTAACTTCATGGAATATGCAAGATAAAAGTAACACATCTGTGTCCTTGCCATTTTGCTGAGGTAAAGGTTGGTTTTCCCAGACTGGACAATCATCCCTGCAAGCCTTTACACATGTACCTTGTGTTGCAGTCCCATTGGACTCATAGATTTTTCCAGAATGGGAGAATATATGATTGTTTCATATAAAAGAAATATTTTGATTATTTCCATAAATAATACCTCCAAAGGTGTATTATCAATTGAGAATATTTGATTCTACAACTTTTTGATGTAAGTATCTCATCAGAGTTTAAGAAGGCACTAAATTCAAGAAAAATTCATCATAGCATCACATATTTGTAAAATTAGGGAGAAATTATCAAATTTTGCATCACTAAACCAGCTGAAGTTATATGCTAAATGGAAGGAAAATAATATCTAATTATTCTGGCATGTCATATGTTTCTGGCGGAGCATTTGTTTGACTTTTTTAACCCAAGCCATCCTGTCCTACAGCAAAACTATTTTATCTATATATATCAATATGTATATATAACATATAATAACACTGTATATAACAACATATATGTTGTTTTGACATGAGCCTCAGTTTTCCCTGTGCACTGTCTTAAAGCAAATGAAGGAGTCATTGTGTTTTCATGGACTAATGTAAACATGGGGGGGTTCCCATCAGTCAGCCTTTTCTACCAAATATCAGCTAAGAATAGAAGTGTATTTTTTACCGTGTTTTCAATGGATATATTGGTATTTATTGATTATTGCCGTGTTTGCTTCCCTAGGGTATGGCATTTGCAAGCAGATTTTAGCAGATCTCTTTTTGAGCGGGGGAGATAATACCCACTCCCTGCTGCTGAACTGCAGAGGTCTCTTCCTGAAAGCTGTTGTAGTTATCTGCACTTATTTGGTAAGGTGGAGAACAGAATACAAGTTTAAAGGCTTAAAATCTCCCTTTCTTATTCCCAGTTACAGGAATTCATACAAGAAGAACATCTGCATAGACATGCTGCGCCGGGGTTATCACAAGTCCTTCTCTGAGCTCCTCACTCTGATCCAGAAGTGGAATGCCTTCAGGGAGGCTGCAGGGCCTGGGTCAGCCATATGGCATGAGAAGTCCCTGGAGGAGCAGCCTGATAAGCTGGATCAGCTTTCCCACTTCCTGACCGGGGCTGAGGCAGCCCGGCGAGCAGGTAAATGGGGGGATTGTGGGTAGCGGAGCAGCGGGAGCCGCAGCCGCCAGTGCCTGGGGGAAGATTCCAAATTGTTTCATGTATGAATTTGAAACGCTACTGCATCTTAGCACATTGCAGCCTTAGTCAACTGAGCTGTATTTATAGAATAAATGATTAGGAGCTGCAGATATCAGGAGAGGTCTTGTGAAGGAAGGAAAAAAAGGAAAAAACATGTAGAGTGAATTTTGATAACATCAGAAATGTTTGATGTATTTATAGCTTTGATAACATCTCAATTATTTTCTCATAGTTTCATTATTTATTGTTTTTTTTTCCTCTATTGATTTGAGAAGCTGGTTTTGTATTAGAAAAATTTAATAGGTGAAATGCTGTTTCACACAGTAATACTTTTATAAATCTATTTTTATTAAATACCCTGCTAACTGTGTTTGGATTTGTGACTGACTTAAAAAGGATTGTGAACATGTCAAATAAAATACAGCACATAGATGTAATATGCCACCTGTGAATTACTAGATATTAGTGAAGACATAACTCAAAATTGTATTTTATAACTGTATTTTCTTTATTGCCTACTATTTACTAAGCACTCATATTTATAATTTCCTTTTACTATAAATAGTAACATAACTTACTCCATCTTTCTCCATTGGAATAATTGCAGGGATGGAGGCAGACAAAGCTCTACCTGCAATCTTGTTTCATAGCTGAGTTGATATCAGTGTAGTTGTCTTGTTTCAAGTTGCATTTTGATCATTACAAATATGAAAACCTACAGTAAATCTTGTGAATTTGGAATCTAAGCTTTTTAACTGAAATTTAGAAACAGGCAACTTCATTTCAAAAAAAAGGAACAGCAAAATAAACCCTTTTGGCACTTCCAAAAAATGTTAATTTTAACTGTTTATTTGATGCTTGCCATGAAAGCCAAAAGTTGTGTTGCTTTATTTCACTGTAATTCTTGACAGGAAGCCCAGCCAACCATAATTGGAAGGAATCTTTAGCTTTGCCTGGAATATGACTAAAACCTGAATAGCCACCCGTGTATCTTGCAGAATATGAGAGAGACGTTTGGGGCTTGGACTGGCCTGGCAGAAGCATTCTGCTAATATCTGATGGTCAAAAATACTGGACATTATCTTAACTGGCTTATCTTAATGGGCCTGCTCCCTGCAGCCACTTGAGGAGAACAGTTTGCCTGCCGTCAGGGCATGATATTTTTCAGTGTTACAGGCTGATGTGTGACAACAGAGATGGCAAACATGAGAGACAAGGCATTCCCAAATGTGCAGTTCCTGCACTTCTCCTACTGAACCTGGCATTTCTTGTATGCTGGGCTCTGTAAAGTCTGTCACCTCTCCCAGAGACAAGGCACCACCACCAGCTGCCTAATTGCACCTTGCCTCTAGGAGAGAGTATCTCCCAACTTTGCCTGTTGATTAAAATGAAAGAAGAAAAAAATAATGAGGACTTAAGAGTTGGCAAGCGTTGTTACTGAATTGCTGGAGCAGGGCATAATTTGTTTTGATTTTTTTTACCCGTTTCAATGCAAATCTTTGCACAAATGTCTCGTTTGTATAGAATAAGGTTTGAGTTTCCTGGCACATGAAGGAGTGGATGGTAATTCCTATTGCAGGTCTGAGAGCCAGCAGTGCTGTGAAGATTCACATGAATTGTGCAGCTCATCAAACACTAATTCAGTAGCTCTGCTAATCCGGTTACTCTCTGATTCTAATCAAATTGCTTGGGGCTCTGGCTTATGATCTCCTGACAACTCCAGTTGACACCATTTAAGAATCATTCAGCAGTTCACCTCAGCTAGAACTTACCATGATGTAGCAGCCACAACAGTGGCTGACCTGCATTTGCTCTTCAGCTGCCACAGTTCACGCTTAAAAGGGTGAAGGTAATGTTTGGGTCAGCAAATGGTGAGAGTTTCATAGCATGGTTATGTTGCTAATATTAGGTTGGCTGAAATTTTACCTATCTGAGGTAACAATTATGCTGAAAAAGAGATAGCAGCTATAAATAATGACCATTAAAAATTCATTACTTGTAAGTATTTTTATTAATTAAAACTTCAGAAAATGTTGGGGTTTGAACTTGGAGTGGTATGTGGAAAGCAAAACACTTACTTTGTCAGTAAATAATTTTCTTATTTGTTATTTAATTTTTCTCATCTGTTATTTTTGGATAATGGGGTATTACTGTCCCAATTTTGAATATAACTTGGATCTTCTAATTTTAGAGTTTTATGGTACTTACCATAGTGTACAGAACAAGCTATGTACACATTCAGTTTTCATATTTATTGGTGGAAAGTGTTAATATTGTAATGGTTTCCACAGTTTTTAGTTCTAGGACACTACAATTCTGGACATAAATAATTTGCTTGAACTGAATCAGAGCCATGCAGGCTAATATCAAAGAGCAATTACTTTCTTTACTGCTGTGTTTGAAAATAGTAGAATTTTGTTTACCAGCATTACACTGATTGCTTTTACATATACCAGTCAAGGTTCTCTCGATTTTCATTTTTAATAGAATATTTTGCTTTCACTTCAAATTACTCAGGAGTTGTCTTTTTTTTTAATTGCCTATTACCAGTACTTTGCTGTGTGCAAAGAAAACAGCTTTTTCTGGCCAACTTAAACTCATTTTTGTTGCATTTGAATATCTCCCAAGTATTTAAAAATAGAGAGGGAACTTTAATCCTTGCAGCTTTTCAGAAAAATGACTGATGGAGTTATTTTGCCCTGAGTTCAGCATTATTCTAAAGCAGTGGCAGAAATATTGCCAATGCTTGACTATATTTTTGTCTTGCCTTCTTTATACAAGCAAAGTAAATGTTTCTGACTTGAAAATTGAGGGAATTTTAATTATTCTTTGATGTTCCTTTATACTGGACTAACCTCTTCTTTTACTAGTTCTGATTTCAGGAGCTTAGGGAAAAAAAGGAGGTAGTTGAGCTGTTTAAATATGTATATAGTTGTATGTCTTTTTACAGAAGAATCAGAGTATGGGATCTGCACAGCTCAGCATTTGATGTATACAGTGATTTCTTGGCACATATATGGAAATACTGGGGGTTCCTTCAAAAGGAAGCTGTGTTTTGTATTTATCAATACTGATAGTACTCGATCAGTATAGAGTGAGCTGGTTTGCTTGTAGCCATTGAAAGGAGTGCAAAGCAAGTTCCAGCTCAAGAACAATTAAAGGAAGAGCTGTCCCAGCTGTTAACTCTTTTGCCAGAGCAGGAATGCAAAACCAGGGAAAGTGCCACCGTTCAGTGGCTGCAGCTTGTGCTGGGCACTCAGCATGTAGTGGCAGATCACTGTGCCAAAGCCAGAGGGTGGAATCCTTGGCTATGAACACCCCTTCAGAAGGGCAAGACACTGCTTATTAGCTGATCACTGCAGCAGCTGCTGGAAACCAGGAGTTAAAACCTGGGAACTGCTGCCCTTCTGAGATTCCACCTGCTCCTGGTTCCTGACCCCACGCAACCTTTGTGCTGTGCTGTGTGCTAAATGCTGAATCTGTGCATGTGCTGCAGGCTGCTGACCCTTGTTCTAGACAGTACCAGACACACAATTAGAAAGAAGTGACAACTTGGCTTTCTTTCCCTCACTTCAGTGTAGAGAAAAATTTTGACAGTATGAATTAGCATTAGTTTTTGTTGTAAAAGATGTCTTTTCATAAAGTGTATGAAAGAAGCATGAGTATTTGATCTGCATGCACTGGAAAGATTTTGTCCAGTATACTCAAGGTCGAAAACAGAGTTTAGCATTTTACAGTAGAAAGCTTTTCTGTAAGGTTATGCCTTAGTCTTGGGCTAGAAACATTGCAGTAACCATACTGCCCATGCTATTTTCAAAAAAAAAAAAAAAAAGGAAATAGGTTATGCCTTAAAAGAAAAAAGTATATCAAACCCTCTTTTAAGATTTGCTTGGATGAGACATAGTTTTGTTTGCTTTTGAGGGGCTGGGCAAGGGAATGCTGTTTTATTTTCTAAGCAGGTTTGTCACTCCCTACTTAATATTTTATCACAGGAAAAAATGCAGCAGTTGCTGGAGACCAGTGGAGAATTTTATTATTTTTGTAGTTATCTTACAAAAAGTTGAAGTGATTCTGTCCAGAAAAGAAACCAAACCATCTCAAAATACAGCCACTTGTAGAACTACCATTAACTTCAACAGAAGCAGCACTTTTTAGAAAATTTCTGTAGTATGTTTTTGTTGCAATAGCTTGGAGTTCCCTTTTAGCATTCCAGATTACCAGTTAATTGACTCATATTATTATCATTAGCTGGTTTTATCCTTTACCCAGTAAAATTATACCCTGACCATTTCCTTAGCATTTTTTTTAATAGACTGTTCATTGATCAAGCATTTTCCCCATATGTACCTGACAGTGTTGGGAGTGATGTGCTCTGTGCACACTCTAGGAAACAGTTTCTGCCTGTAACTTGGTGTCATTGTGCTCACAACTCGCATTTTCACTTTCTTCATTTGTGGACTTACAGATAAACATTCAGGAAAAAAGTTTATCCATTTAAGAATAAACTCTCTGGAAAAAGGAGTGATTGAGGAGTGTTTTACCTATAGATGTAGAAGCATCCTTTTTCTGAACAAGCAAAAGGGACTGATTCTTTGCCATGTATAGATCCAGATGGAAATAACCAATTGCAGCACCATATTGAGCTGCAGTTTGTGCTTCTTTTTGGTCCAACATCTTCCATCCTAGATCTTTCTCTGAGTGAATTCTTCGCAGCATCAGCTGTCTTGCTACTAAGTCACTGATTTTGATCTTTCTGGCAAAAGAAAAATTAGCCTTCCAGCACTCTGCCTCATTCTGACATAAAAAATTACTCATAGTGTTTTAATTGACCTTAGGCCACACCTTTATGTGCCTTCAAGAGTGAAGGGTCAGTTATAATCCAGTCATACACACTTTAAACAGCTGACTGGAGGATGAATGTTAACACCTGTTGAAAAGTTTCCATATGGCCTTTGTTTGGCAGGAACAAAGCACTGACTGGTGGCTTTTTGAGTGGGAAATAAGGACTCATAGCTGGATGTTGAAAGATTTCTTTCTGATTCCTGTAGTTTAAAAATCAGTGCAAGTTCTTGTTAATGGAAAATGGAACACCTGCCTATTTTATTCTTCAAAGGAGACATCAAGCCAGGATCTCTTCCTGATATTTTCGTCTGTTCTCTAAAGACCATTCCTGTACTTCTTTCCCTTTCTTCCACTGCATCCTGTAACAAGGGAGATCATAGAGATATGGCAGCAAGTTGTACTTGAGTCTCACTAGGATGGCTTGCTGGCTTTCTGTGTGTTTGTTTTCTCTCATGTTAGCCCTGTTGGGGTTCTCAAACTGCACCTTGCTACCCTTGCATTGCACTACTTAGTAGTTGTCTAGCTGAGCACAGCAAACATGCAGATATGGATTTGAGTGATCCTCTGTTGTGTGCACGGCCTTGCAGTTCTTGAGAAGAGTCCAGGAACAAAGGTATTGTTCAGTGCACTGATCAGGGCCTATGGCTTGAGCACAAGAGGAGATGCTACTTGGCAGCTGAGGTGCACCTAAAGAGATCCTGATACACAGCAGGGAATACCCTGTGTGTTTAATATATGGGGTTTAATGTTTAAGCTCAAGTTGAAGGTTTTGGGGTTTTTTTTAATCTCTGTTTAGCAGAAAGCTCTCAGGAAGGTTTGATAGGACAACTCTTCTTTTGTACATAAACACTCAATTAGGGAGGTTTTTTACATTTTTTTGGATCAACAGATGCCTAAAGATGACTTGTCTACATGTGTTTTATTATCAGTTGTACAGAATGTACTCTACAAAACCAGAGAGTTCAAAGTTTTAATATCCGAACTACTTGGAGTTTTTATAGAAGAATTTCCCTATTCCTATATTCCTCTCCTGGGGATGTAAAAGTTCACTTTCACTAAGTCTGACACACTAGCTTTGCCACTGTCAGAATAACATCAGTTAACTTCTTGATCAATAACTCAGACTTTGGATCCAAATCCAAATGACTTGTAAAAGTCTGGGGTGTGGGGGTTTGGTGCATGGCCTGTGTATCCGGTCAGCCCTGCCCAAGACAGTGCCAGAGACAAGGTTGTCTTTGTGCACTTCTCATTGTTATGCACCGGCAGGATCCTCTGCAGAGGTCACGGTAAAGTTCATTCAATCAAAGCCGTGGCAGTAGCTGGAGTCTGCCTCGGGTCACTTCCATCCCTTGGGATTTGTAGGGCACTACCTGAAGTTATTTGCGTAATTTTATGTCACATAAGTGCCTTGATAGTTTGTAGCAACAATTTCAGAGGAGCAAATCTGTATCCAGTGTGTCTGTATCCAATGATGATCCAATTATCTCTTCCCTTTCTGGCTTATTGCAACCATTTGTATGCATCCTCTGGTATCTTTGAGTTCATTTTCACTTAGCTGTGATCTAATGTGTATTATCATCTTTATGTTAGTGGTTATAATTAGGTTTTGTATTTCACTGCTCGTGTGGTCGTGTGCTTGTAATCGTGGGAAGCTGTGCCTCTAATTCGGAGATAATCTCTAAAAACATTCCCTTGTGCTGCAAGCATTGTTCAATTCAGGGTGAGATAAACCTCATCCAAGAAGTATCTGCTTTTCTTCACTGAGAGGAAAGGAATCCTAGGTAACTCCTACCTGTATCTAAATTAGTAAGTTTGGATGAATCCCAACTGGGTGTTAACTTTATTTCTGTGTGTTGTCCTGGTTTTGGCTAGGATAGAATTAATTTTCTTCTTAGTAGCTGGTACAGTGCAGTGTCTTGGATTTAGTATAATGTTGATAAGTGTGATAGATCATGATGTTGCATAGATGTATAAATATGTTATAAACATATACGAATACAGGCATATATGTATATGTGTGTGTGTGCATATACACAGGTAAATGTAGCTATATTAAGCCCAACCCAGTTTTGTTGTTTCCATTCCAGAATCATTTGAAAAGATTTTGATGAGGCTATTGTACCAAAATAGTCTTAATTTCTAATGTATAAATATGTTTTATATAATGTAGACTCCAGGATATTCTGAAAAAGAGGCACCCAGGAGGTGCTTTTTCAGTCCTGAGGAGAAACAAAAGGCATGAAAACTCAGAGCCATGAAGAATATTCAGATTAGGAATACATGAGGCCTGTATATTGATAATTATTCCTCTCAAAGCTGAATTTCAAAACTTAAGCTTAGAACCTTAGATGCAAATGATGAGATGATAATTTAAATGTAATTTCTGAGCTATTTCTTTTTTGGTGATTTTAAAGAGATTGTGAATCACTCATTTCTTGGAAGGGATGTTATCTCTTTTAAAATATTAGAAATTGAAGCAATGTGTATTATATATTTCTAAATCATAATTTTATATATATTTTAATGGGAATTATTAGAAAGTTAGAAATCTGAGAAAATAAATAAGAAAGCAAAATAATAAATAAAATGAATAAAATAACACAAGCAGTAAAAAAAAAAGTATTGTTTACAATTAGAGGAATGAATTTTTAAATCAAAAGATAAAAGGAGTGTTCAAGAATGGGGAAAAGGTTTCAGCTTGATTTCAAAAACCTTTAAGCAGGAAGAATTCAGATAATGTTCTCTGAAATGACCAAGATGGAGAAAAAAGGAGGAGAAACAAGTAGTAGATGAACATCTTGAAGATGTTCATGATACAGACATGATTAGGTGCTAGCTCTTTTTCTCAAAAGAATAAAGTCCTTACTGTGTTGTGCAACACACTGAAGAACTTTATCAAGATAGAAGTCAAATAACAGTCATGACAATAGAGAGAATGAGAGACCTACATTTCTTCAAGTAGATCATATGTAATTTGTAATTTTAAGACAGAACATACTAGAGATGAGGCTGACAAATCCCTCTTGTCTGGTTTAGTGATGAATTTAAAGTACTTGTTTGGGTAATGGCTGCTGTGTGTTCCAAACAGTGCAAGTGACTTGCATAGGTGGTGGAATTTAGTCATTAAACTCATCCTTTTGGAAGCTGGATTTCCCCCAATTCTTCTTGTAGATTGCAGAAGAAGAGAATTTAACTGCATCTTTTGATTGAAGTGTTTTGATATGGTTGTTATAGATTTAAAATACTTGGGAAAGATCTGGACTTGAAGATCTTGCCTATGCTGAAAAGCTTTATTTTTTCCCAGTTGATTTCTGTGTGGTGCTCCATACCCAGAATTAAGAGGGGTTTTTCTTTTCTCCATTCTCTCTCTTTTTGAGCAAAGCTTACAAATTGCAGAGCTCCCAAAAACAAAGCAGTTCTGTTCACACACCCAGCTTAACCAAAAAGTCTCTTACCTGCTGCCAGACCTGTGCTTAACTCCTTTTTACCCAATTATGTGGAAATTCCTTTAGTGCCTTCATGTTTGGCTCATATTCATTTAACAGCCACAAACACACTAAGTAGCCCACCAAAACTGCAATGGAATTTTAGCTAATTATTCAATTTCACATCAGGTTTATGCTCTACTTTATTATTTCATAGATTTTTCAGTATCATATAAGAAATAGATCTTTCAAATTCACTTTAGTGTGGAACAGTATGATGAGACTTGTCAGGAAAGTTTTAGATTTCAACTCCAAATTAGTAAAGTTTTGGAATAATTCAAGGCTGATATCTTGTGGGGTTTTTTTAAAAGGTACTTTTTCAAGGGAAATAAGTTGTTATTCTGTAACTTTAAATTGTGGATAATTTTGTAATGCTACTTAGATTTAGGAGTTGCAGGTTTTTTGTAAATATTAGGGATAATGTGTGTTCATTCAGCTGTTTGAGATGATAAAGAATAGAATCCAAACTTCAGGCTATGGAATCTGGCAAAACTTCAGGCCATATAATCTGTGAGTTAAAACCCACTGCTTTCCACATTTGTTCTGAGAACAATTCCTTGGTGAACTGGGTGGGAGGTTCCTAGGGAAATGGGTGCAATTTCAGTTTGTCTTTAATTTCTAAGAGTGCTAAGGTATTAAACATGGGAATATGCATCAAAGTCATACTTTGAACATGTAAAATTATATGAATTAATGGATTGTGTTTGCAGAGTGTTCTTTTTGATTCTTAATCTCCATCAACACAGTTGTTACCTTATAGGTCCAAGGTTTGGAAAGCTCTTACGCCTTTTCAGGGCCCAGAGGCTCAGGCAAATGCTTCTCCAGTCTCACTCTGACTTCTCTTTTGACTAGCCAGTGTTTTATCCAGGTTTTGTGTTTATTAAACTGAATTCTGGTTTTGCACACAGAAATGAGAACAAAAATGTTTCCAATTGTGCTTAATTTGTAAGATTATAATTTTCCTCTTCAACTTCTCTGAGTGAACACAACAGAACTTGATGGCATTTGAATGTAGAAATAAAAATAGTATTGTTGCTATAACGTGCAGAATTTCTGAACACTGATGATATTACATTTTTATTTTGGTTTTTTTTTTGTTTTTAAAGGGCACTATGAGAAGGTGTATGATAACCAGCTTAGCTTGGCCTGCTGTTTCAATGACCCTGAGGACAAATGGTTAAGTAACTACTTCTATGAGCAAAGCTATAACACAGCTCAATTAGTAGAAATTGATGGTGGGAAGAGAAAGGCACAAGGATATGTAAACATGGCCCTCATCGAAGAGGAAGAAGGTAAGGCACTGAATTGAAAGAGCTGGGGACATGTAGTTCTGTAATGTTTAATCCTGCTTCTAATTTACATTCAGATAAACATCCTGTATTTTTGTTCTTTTTAAAATGACCTTTTGGTTCTCTTGGCCACAAGTGACACCCTCTTTGTTTGTTCCTGACTGCCACATTGGTGTTTGCTTCAGACTTAGACCTCACCACCAGCTCCCTTTCTCTCCATGTACATCCTTAAACTGGGAGTCTCTGAAATCAGAAGATATTAATAGAAGTAACTAGAATCATAGAACAGCCCAGGCTCTGAGGGACCTTGCAGATGATCTGATCCAACCTTTCATGGAAAAGGGAGCCTAAATGAGGTTATTTTAGCACCCTGTCAATTGCATCTTAAAAACCTCCAGTGATGGGGACTCTACCACATCCCTGGGGAGCCTGTTGCAGTGAACAGTTGTTCTCACTGTGAACAATATTGCTTTCTTATATCAAGGTGAACCTTGTTTCTGTATTTAAGAGCAGATATTACCTTTCATGGCAGAGGGGTTTGTGTGTGGATAGCAGTCTGAGTATAAAAAAGGCATTTTCCTCTGTTTGCCTAAAATCCTTTTATGGTGTGGGAGGGCAAGCAATAAGTAAGCCTCAAGTAAGTGAATAAAGCCTGTCTTCCAGTTCTAATTTGTAAGTGTACTGCATGCCTAACTATTGCTTAAAATATGTGACTTGTGTAGCCACAATGGTTTTGTTTCTGAATTTGACTGTGGGTTGAAACAATTCCAACTCTGAACTCAACTTGTGGCTGGTTTCTCATATAAAGTGGCTTCTCTTAAAAAAAAAAAAAAAAAAGACAGAAATTGAAATATTTTGTGGATATAGTCTAATTCCATTAAATGTTTGGTGGAATGGGTGTGTTTTGAGAGATGGCCCCATTTCCCAGCAAAAGCCTGAACATGAAACAAGAAGTCTGCAGCCCTTTTTTTTTTAATTAAAAGAGTGTTATCCTATTTTTTCCTCTTGCTCTCTTCCAGCTGACACATGGCACCTTTTGTTATATTTCCTCGCATCTTTCTAGACTGATGGTCATTCACACTGTTTTCCTGTGAACTGTTGTCTTATTTTTCTTGCCTGCCACACTCAGACCTGGATTCAGTCTTAAAATTTGAGCATGTACCAATAATCAGTAAAATGGAAGGATTACTTTTCCTACTCATGGTATCATCCAGTTTCCCAGTTGATAAAATCGCAGTTGCTTAAAGCCCAGCCAGTCATAACCAAGTCATTTTCATTTTGAATGAAAAATGCTTAGGTCGGTTATCTCTCTCTTACTCAGTAGAATAAAATTATTGAAAAATTGCTGGATTTTAATTTTTTTTTGCAATGTTTTCACTTGGTCCTTTAGTTACTAAAAAATAAAATTTTAAGGTGCAGACAAGCAAACATTCAAATCTACTTGTAACTTCAAAGGCTCTTACTGAGTGTGACTCACTGCTGTTACCCAAGCACTGCCCAAAAAACAAGATTAAGGTTTTCTACTTTCCGGTGTCTTAAGCAAAAGTTGTTGAATACTTAAATATCTTGAGGCCCATTATAAAAGCACATAAGTAAAGTTATGAAATAGCCTGAGATGATCAGAGAAGCAGAAATTTTATTTTCCTGCTGAAGAATATTAGAAACTTTTAGAAGAGAAGCTTCTTATTAACCTTATTAACAAGAAATAAAGCAAAGTGGATTTTCAGTGCCCAGGGTAAAACTCCACTGAATCTGTGGTCTCTGTCTGTTGAAAGTACTTTATTTCCAGAGAGAGAGGGGTAAAAAAAATAAAGAAGCTGAGAGAGTAAGCATAGGATTTGCTTTGAGGGACCACTGAGAAAAAAAGACAGCAGATGTATTCCATGCACTTTGTATTTTCAAGGGTGAAAAATTGATTCAAGGGCAAGTTCTGATTGGAGAAAAAGTGTAAGAGGACATATTAGGTTGGCATTATATAATATTCCATCAGTTTTAATGGTGTTATAAGTAAAATTTTAATTCTGCTTTTTCTTTTGTTCAGTTCTTTATAATTTGATAATTAATTTGTGAAACAAATTAGTCAGATTCCTTCTTCTCTGGGGGTGTATCTACAGGAATAAATGTAGACATCTGGTCCCAGTTATTTTCAGTTCTCTTATCCAATAGTGTATTTTTCATTACTTGGGAAAGGAAGCTGTCTGTATATGCTTAGGACTGATTGCTTGGGAGTATAAAGTTAAACATGGACTTGTAAAGATTGCTGTTTGCCTTGGAAGAAAATCAATAAATTTGCTGGGTAATTTTTGTGTAATCAAATTTAAAGTTCTTTGACTTTCAGCCTGGTCCCTGTCCTAAAGGCTGGATATAACCTGATGTTCATTAATCTTCAAAGCCAAATATTTGAGGTGTTGGTGGTGTAGACTTCAGTCATGATATTTGGATGCAGGCCATTAGTAGCTGCCAGTAAGGGAAAGAAAACAATAAGTGAGTAGCCTGCTGCAGAAACAAATGGAATGTTCTGCTTGGAGCAAACATTATTTTAATGGCATTGCTTCACAGAATGAGATTTTTTACCTCTTCCCTAAAATACTCTGCCTATAAAATAAGGTGCAAAGCATTCACTGATTATTGTAGAAGTGCTCAGATTTTGATGCTGTTCAATTAGCTGTGCTATCCCCCCCAGTTTGTCTTTCCTCAGAGGGCTGCTAATAAGTCATTTTATTACTTTTTTTACTCATTATTTTACTTTATTTACTCATTTACTTATTTTTTTCACATAGCTCTTTAATGAGCTGATGTTACTTTACAGACACTGAAAATGCAATGCCATAACACATTTTTCTCATGTTAAATCCAGAATTACTTGTTGACCAAGTAAGCACCGGCTTTGTGATAGAGTCTCTTAAGAAATCTGAGTTTAAAAAAAAAAAAAAACTTTTCTTCCTGTGCTTTCAATGCATTTTCAGAAGTAATATCAGAATTTCAGAAGTCATTATAAGAATATCAAAGGGTAAGATTATAATAATCGTTTATGATATATTACTGTGCTTTCTGCTGAAGTTAACTGTGAACTTGAGGTTTACACTCTTGTATTTTGCAGAAGAAACAGTTGGAGTGCACTGAAAAACACAATGTCTAGTATTGTTTTGTACAGACTCTTACGTCATTGCAATATTTGAGTGCTTTCTGTTTTGTGCTAAATGCTTGCTGCCTATCATGCATGAAGTGATACGTACCTTAAATATGTGCATCCCAAAGTTTAAGATTAACTTATATCAATAAAAAGAACACTCTGGGGGAAAACAAGGAGTTTGTACTTGTAGGAGGTCTTTGCTTCAAATATGTTACAACAAAACCAGATAAATTTCTATGTTATTCAAAAGCATAGCTCAACCAGGCATCTGAACTTAGGGTACCTGTCAGTTGCAGTGCTTGGGAACATTTCTGGATACATTTAAATAACTGTTTTAGAAAGCATGTATCACAGTAGCATCCAAGGAATAAAATTAATTACAAATGCCACTCCAGAACCTGGATCTCCCTGCTATGAGAGCTGTAAGATGTGTGGAAATGATGCCATTATTCTCAAGGCAGTGGTGACTTTGAATTAGTCATCAGATTTCTATTCTGCTAGCACATAAGGATCAACAAAAGTGGAGGTGATACTTTATCTGAAGTCTTTACAGGCTGAAAAGATTAAAGCCAGGCAGAACTAGTGAGAGAAAGGGAGCAAGTACAAAGCAATGTTGGGAATCTCAGAGCTGATTGCCACAACATACAGCTAATCCACAAACCCAGTTTTGTCCGTGTGTGTGCTTTTCAGACTGCGAGCCTTATGAGGCCTCAGTAAGGAATTCCTTTAGTCCTTTCTAAAATAGCTTAGACATTTCAAAAATCTGCCGTATTCTGCAAATTAATGAAGGGTTTGTAAGTGTTCAGTCCTAATCCAGCTCTGCCTTGATTTTAAGCAGAGTTTTTAAGCTGAAGGTCTGATTGCTTTTCCAACAGAGCAATGGTATGCCTGAGTTGATCGCTTTGCACCTACCCCAAAAATTTGAATTGATTGTGATTTATTTGAAAAGGTGTAATTGTTTTATCTGTGATCACGGATAAAATATGGTCTATTTCATATGTTGGAATTTGATAGAAACCTTTCTGGTTGAAAGACCTACTGAATGGGAGGGACTTCTAAGTGTAATTAATTTGTTAGGGAAAAAAGATCACAGGATTCTTGCAGATTTTAACAATCTTGATTGAAACTGAGGTGAAGAATTTTCCCTGTCACTTTGCCATTGTATTGAAATTGAAGTTTTTATTAAGGCATTGCAGAAATTGATGGAAAGGTTCTGATTGTGTTTAAGGGGCATTTCACAGAATGGCTGGATTGGAAGGAACCTCTGAAGATCACCTAGTCCAATCGTCCTGCTAAAGCAGGTTGCACCTGAAGCAAGTTGTACAGGATAGCTCTGAGTTATGAAACTTAACTATTAATTACTGGATATATTTGCTGAACAACAACTTAAAGATGGATCATGACATCTTTTGGTTTTGGATCATAAAAAGTCTAAACAGTTTATTTTCTTGTTCTTAGTCAAGAAATTCTTGCTAAGAATCCATTCTTACTAAGAAATTGTTGATTTTGTATTTGGAATTGTTTATGGCAAGTGCTTTTTAATTGAAAACTGTAATGTATAAATAATTGAGAGAAACTCAGCATAAATTCATGAGTATCTATGCAGAGGAAATATGCACGTTTAAGCAGAATTTCCCCAATTGGTTTGCCTTCAGGCAGAAATAATTTATATTCAGATATAAAAAAAGAGAATGTTAATATTGCAAAATGAAGTACTAAAAAGGTTTAAAAAAGCAAAAGTTAAAATTGCTTGTGAAATTTCATATGCTTTTGCGTGTGAACAATTTGCAAGTTTATTTTAATTACATAAAAATATTGTTTCTTTTTAGGAGATTGTGAAGTATAACCAGAATAAAATTCACCTGTGGGA